CAAGTAAGGCCTGCTATTATTTTACATTTTTCCTTTTTTCTATGTGAAAGTTTTTGGAACTCTGAGCATAACTCAGGAACATGAACACTGAAGAATACCTGCATTCATAGAGATCAGAGGTGATTGTAGCTGTGATTGTTGGTGTGTCGCAGCCAGCAGGACGCTCAGGAGTTCCTGCGTTTTCTCTTGGATGGCCTACACAACGAGGTCAACAGAGTCACTGTCAGGCCAAGAGGCATCGTAGAGGACTTTGACCACTTGCCGTAAGTCATCACAGGACAGCATATTTGTTATATCTGTACATATCCTGATGCATGCTCAATAATCCAGGTAGAAAAATCTAAAAAAGTTCAATCCGGTCCTCTGGACATTCAAAAAAACAAAACAAAGCAAAAAAATCTAGATACGTTTCGGATGAAAGACAAATTAGGCACGTATCATTGATACGTTAAACGGCAGTTAAATGTCTTCTGTAACAATCTATGTCTGTGTGCAGAGCTTGTTTATTACATTGGTTTATCTATCAAATTATTGTATAGTTCTGTACTTACTACTTAATACTTGAACATGTTTTGCTTTTATACTGTTTTATAAATTCTGTAACATGCTTTTAATACAAAGTCAACTGTTGTACAAAGTTTGTTGTACACTTATTCAAATATAAGCATCAGAGACATTTGGAAATGTTCAATATGCTTAAAAATTTAAATAAATTGACGATTACATTGTACTAACCAGTGCAATTTGCTTTCTAAGCCCAGTATATCCACTACAAAAATGTAGACTACACCACTGGCACAGAGCCTAGTTGGCTAGAAAGGCCCTGTATGCTTCATTTATCCTGAGAAAAAGACTGAAGTTATTTAGTAAATGAACAGGCTGCATATAAAAAAAAAAGTGTATGACTTTTTATAACTGTTTATTGTTGTTGCTGTTTTCCATTGTTGTCATCATTCTTTGTTGAAATCAGGTCTCTCTTGTAAATGAGTCCTCGAGGCTCAATGGGATTTACCTGTATAAATAAAGGTTAAATGAATGAAAAATAATGGTCATGGAAATGTGCTGTCAACATGGTAAACCTATGAAATGCACTACACCTCTTGTTGTCTCTCTTAAACAATTCCATGCTTAGATACATTTTGACAGCAAACCCATAAGGCAATGTTCAGTTTAAAGCTTTGGAGTTGTAATTTCTCAACTGTGTTCTTCTTTCAGAGATGAAGAGAAAGGGAAGAAGATGTGGAGTAAATACCTGGAGAGAGAAGATAGTAAGATAGTTGGTGAGTTTAGTGATTCAAATGGTTTTATTGGTTTTCTGACCACGACCAGTCATTTTTGACAAACTGAAGCTTCATTTTTATAAATTTTTGTTCTATATAATATATATATATGCGTGCTAATGTCAATGCATCATATATATATCTATATATATAGATATA